CATCTTAAAACGGTGGTTATAAACATCTTTTAACTACGGACAAATGGTTTTAACCACGGACAATGTATCCGTAGCTAAAGGTCACTGTTTTGCTACGGACGTGACGTCTATTTTAACTACGATTTTTATGACCGTAGAAGTCAATTTTCATGTAGTGCCACATTTCATCAATTCATTAAAGCATACTACAACAATGCTTGTTATTTCCTTAAAACAAAATTCAGATGTAAATCATCCTAATGAAATTTCATTGTTTTTCTTTTATTTTTCCCTCTATACTACTTTGTTGCTTGGAGAACAAGCGAGAAATGGAAATTTTTAGGAAAATTATTAAGGAATTTCACAAAATGCTTCAAAGATTTCTCCACTAATTTTATGATAAACCAAACACAGCCTTAATTAAGGCAAGCTTAAATTGATACATATATATTTAAAGAAAAAGACCAAAAGTGCAAGCGACATGGTAAATATTCTACAGACGCTGTATATAATCTTCTTAGCATCATGATATTTGAACCATCGGTGATCCACTCTGACCATCCAGCCAGTCAATTAATTCAGTTTCATCCCTTAACCATCTTTTATCTAAAAAAATCATTCATTTGATCAGAAAACCAAACCGTTGGTCCAAACGATTGAACCGTTAAATTTTTTTTTATCCAGTGCATAGTTTTTTTTTAATTTTTAAATATATTCTAAACTGATTCATTAATATTGAATGGTTGATCTGTTGGCCTTGAAACCGAAAACCATTCTGTCTCAAAACCTTAGTTAGTATGATGGCAACATCTTCTTCTGAAGCGGACATTATTTCAGGGTCTCCTGATATCTTGGATCAAGTTGTGGCTATTTGTAATACATTCAAGATCACATTACCTGTGACCGTGGTCGCCGAACAATTCAGCGACCTCCGGTGAAATGCAAACATGCGGGTAGGTATTTGTAATATATTCAATATATTACATCAATTGATTTTTTTTTAACACTTTTTTTATAGAAACAAAAGGTGTTATACAAGACGGCCGGGTAGCACGTCCCACAAAATCACTAAAACAAATATAAGCAGCTAAATCAATACAAAGATTGAGAGAAATGACACCACTAGACAAAGAAAGAGCGTTGTTCACCCACCATTTCACCGCTTAATTACATCCCAATACACTTGCCTGTAGCAAACTCTACCTTCCATCTTTTCGTTCTTCTGCTAGCAACTGGGGTCATTGATTTGTTCTTCAACCCTAATGTTTTCTCCGGTCTCGGTGTGCGGTGCAACCTGACTTCACAAGGCGCACATTCGGGTGGAAAGAGCTCCTCCTTTAAGCGAAGTAGATTTCTTGTGTGTGTGTGCATATTTTTTTCGAAAAAATAATGTAAAGTAGATGATGAGACAATATAACACTTATTCTTCTACTGTACAAACTTCTTGGTTGGTTTGGCCCTTAATATATGATTGAAGGATGAGTGTGAATCCTCTCAATGATTGATGGGATTGTTTGGTGGCTGACACTATATGGTGGGAAACTAGATCTGCTCCTCACATCTGGCGCCTCACACAGATGTTATCAATGCAGTGGATGTACATGTGAGGCGCCCATCTGTGAGGAGAGCAGATCCTGTCTCGTGTAAAAGGACCTTGAGAAGCTCACGAGCATTCAACATTTGGACAACGTGTCCTGGTGTTATGGCATTTTATGGCATCTTTGGCTGGCTCGTAATTCAACTGTTTTTGAGCATAAAGCCATGAACACTAGTGATAAAGTTATCATCCGTCCTGCCAAACTACAGTGGGAAGACTTTGTACGTGCTGTTTCCAAGCCCCACGAGACTGCTGCCCATCAGGCTAGGTGGACTCATCACAGGCCATCACAATGGACAAGACCCCAATTGGGAATTCGGGATATATTAAAGTTAGCTTTGGTGGGAAAAACTTTAGCTGTTGGGGGCCAACAGCCTATGCTGTTGAGAGAATTTCTGGTAATGTCACCTTATCTTGAGAATGGGTAAATTAGTAATTATATCTTAATTTATTTTTGAGTAAAATTCAAAGTATAGGTGTGAATAGGTGAACTGCCCAAAATGTGGCCAGCCCAGGAATTGTCTCAACAGCCTATGCTGTTAGGCTCCAACAGCCAAAATTAACATGCTTAAAGAAAAAAAATATTAATTTTTAAAACAAAAGAAAAACAAATTTTCTAGTATAAAAATTATATGATTTATGGAACATGTCGAATAATCAAATGAAAATATGTTTTTGAAACCAAAAATTCAAAACATGTTTTTTGTTTTAGTTTTGAGGATAAAAAAGCACGTGCACAACTAAGAACATATTTTTTATATTTTTGTTTTGAAAAACAATCTATTTTCAAACCAAATTATTTTGATTTATTTTTAGAACCAGCAATAAAAAAAAAAACTAATTCATGTTGTTATGTCACCTAAAGGTTTTACAAAAAAAAGGGATAAGTACACTTTACTCCCCCTCAGAAATCTGAAATGGCAGCCCCCTCTTAGTCTATTAGTGGCCCTGCCAATAAACCGCATCCTGCCCGTAAATTTGGCATCAATCTACGGACAGGATTCAGTCCATCCTTAGAAATCCTAACTCCACCCTAGGGTTGGACTGAACTATAAAAACCCCTTAAAAAATCACAAGCTTGACATTTTGTTAAACCTACTGGGCTCGGTCTTGACATATTTTGACCAATAAATATTTAGTAGATTTCCACTTGAGTGTCTACTGGGCCGGTAGGTCCATAGGTTAAAAAGTATTGTTGGGCCTGAAGTAAGTTGTGCGCCTTCACCATTTTGTCTGGAGTCCTGGACCCGATCTTATTAATATTATTTTTTTTTGGCAGAAAAAAAGCTTAAACTATATTATGAAATAAATTTACATCCATACCCTCTGGCTGAAACTGTCTAGCACTTCCTCATGTCACACTGAAAACGTTATACAGTTTCCGTTTGGGAGGGTTTGAGCTGGGCTAGAAGTTGTGTTTGGTGAAAATCGGGAAGTTGATCATTATGTTTGGGACATTAGAAATACGGTTGAAGTAGAAATCTATTCCAAATAATTTTTCCAGAACATAGGTGATTAACCACCACAGCTGAATCACCTCCAACGCAAAAGCCCTCTCACACGAATTCATAGGGGCATTTTTGTCTCATCAAATTTTGACAATTTTTCTTTCCTTTATGCTCTGAATGCAGAGATGTTCTGAATTCTGAATTTTAAAAATGATCAAATATCCATTTTGACCTCATATTTGAGAGTTTTTGTGTCTTTTGGATTATCATTCAAAAACAAAAAGTTGTATGATTTCACTTTAAGAAATAAGAGATAAGAGGAAACGAACAACCATTTTTCTCTTAAAGTTAAAGAATTCCTCTTAAGAGATAAGAGTTAAGAGGAAACAAATATGCCCTTACTCAAATCTAAAAAAAGAACATGTATTTCTTGACCAATAAAAATCAAAATCCCATTTACCAACTTTTCCACCCTCAAAAAAAAAAAAATGAACGCCCACATAATTTCATTATCAAAATGTCCGGGTATCTATTCCAAGTTGAAAAAAGAAAAGTAAAGGGGAACTTTTGACAAAATACAATCGGATCCATGAAAAAGCATCATTGCATCTAAACCGTTTAAGTAGGATTCAAAGGTAATGTGGTATTCGAAGATTCAACAATTGACTTGGGTCATTAAAGTCAAAACAGCCATTGATCCATAGGTGATTCAACCACTGAACTGGGCCAGCCAATTCAACCATCAAAACCAAACTCTTAATCGGGTCATCCAAGTGGTGACTAGGAGCGAGCATGGGTCGGTTCAGTTCAGTTCCATGCAGAACTTGGAACCTACCCTGTAGGGGTTGGTTCCAGGTTTTTTGAACCAGAACCTACCCTATGAAGCCTAGTTCTGGCCTTGGTGGTTCCGGGGTCTACCCATGGAACCTATTCTTTCTGTACTCTCTCCCTTCAAGAAAGAAAAAATGAAACATGTCCTTCAAAAACTTGATTTTCAACAATGATAATATATAGTTTAAAACTTATATTGTCTTTATTGATTAAATTGAGTAATTTAATATGTAGTTTATCATAATATATTAATATATGGTTGAAAATTTGTCATTATGATTTAAATTTTGTAAATATTATTTTTTATATTAGTTATTATACACATACAAATATTAAAATGAAAAGAAGTGATCAAATCACTTAAGTAACTCGATGGTCAAGTGAGACCATGGATTTTGTAACCATGAGTGCTTGAGCTCAAATCTTTACAGCAATAAAAATATTTTTGGGGTTTATTTCAAGGCAAGTTAGGTTCTAAGGCCGATTCATCGGGTTGTTCAGGTAGGGTAAACCCCTAGACCGTGGAACCGATTTACATTACTTATTATACACATACAAATATAAAAATGAAAACAAATTATCAAATCACTTAAGTAACTCGATGGTCAATTAAGACCATGACTTTTGTAACTATGAGTGCTTGAACTCAAATCTTTACATCCTTAAAAATATTTTTGGGGTTTATTTCAAGTCAAGTTTGGTTCCAAGGCCAATTCATCGGGTCGGTTTAGGTAGGGTAAACCCCTAAAGCCTAAAACCAACCTGAGTGAGGGTCGGTTTCAAGAATTTAGAACCAGACCCTACCCTGTAATAGATTGAGTAGTGTCGGTTCAATGCTGATTCGAGGTCGATTCCATTTGGTTATAGGTAAGACTTACCCATTTGCTCACCACTAGTGGTGACCACTATCAATGCAAACCTTTCTTACAACTACCCAATAAAACAGGGGGAACACTAATGATCGAATCAAAATGTAAATCAGTTAGGCCTTGTTTGCTCGCACTTCAGATTAAGTAAAACAAAAACCGAAGCAAAAGCTCACCATGATCCACATTATTCTCATTTGCACTCCCACAAATTTGTACCAGTGCAAATAAAATTGCATTGCAAATAAATGGAATCTTATTGGCAGCCAGCTCACAAAATTTAGTATGAAATTTAGATTTTAGTCATAATACCAGCAACTACAAAGAAGTGTACAAACAATAAGTTCAGAAACTCAGAGAACCATACTACAAAATTATTATTTTTGGAGCAAAACAAGAAGACTAGTTAAATGTACTCTAATAAAGGATTTGAGAAGTAAGAATCAAAAGGGTGGAGGTGGACCGGGAGGTCCAGGAGGCCCATAACCAAATGGACTGCAACAGCAACCACAAACAGCTTCCAACAACCAACAGCAGCACAGAATTTTCAACCTGAGAAGGAAAAAGAAACACACGGAAGAGCCCAAATATCAGAATATTATATTGTGTGGTTAGAAGCTCTCTGTGAGTAAAAGAAGAAATGAAGGAGACAGAGAAAGCATTGAGTATTGAGCTCTGGGATTTACAGATCTGCCAAACAGCCGCTGCAGCAACAGCATTCTCCCGGTGGAGGTGCCCAGGGACCTCCAGGCCCTGGCCCTTCACGAAACATGTTTCTTCAGAGAGAGAGAGAGATGAAGTGCTGAATTGACAGATAGAGAATTAATATAAGCAGAGAATGGATGAATTGCACTTACTAGTCCTACTAGAACTGACCAGTGAACTTTGTTGGTTGTCTCACTCAACTGTTGACTCCACCACCTAACATTCTTCAACAGAGGACCTGACGGTCTTGGTTGTTGAATTGTAAATGAACTTGATTTTGAGGCCCATTCATAATGGGCCCGCCTGCCAAGTGTGTCTGTCGAATTTTGGAAGCCCAAGCCTTGCTTATACTTGTCTGGCCCAAACTACAATGAGTCGTAATCAAACTCCTCCTGGAGTGGAGGACCAGTGCCTTGGAAGGCTAAACAACTCTTGCACACTTGTTAGCGCTGCTTGGATCTGACTTCTGGGAAAGATTTGCTAAATGCCAAATTACAAGTTTGGTAGAGAGAATGAGAACTGATCCAAAAATTTAACAAGTTTGAGTTTGAAAGAAAACCCATTTCACCCATAAAAGATTTGGATCAGGGCTAGATGGCAAATAACAAGTCTGGTAGAGACATTACACATAGAGGGCCCAGAATGGGAATTGATCCAATAATTTAAAATGTTTGGGCTTGAAAGAAAACCCATTACACACACCTATTAAATCCATGTTTTTGGGTTTAAGTAACTCGACAAGACTCCAGAAGCAACTAAACTCTACTAGAATTTGATTGGTTTGAGACCGGTTGCACCCAGCCAAATAACTACAAGCCTGAACAAATCACTCAGTTGTTCACAGAACACTTGTGTTATTTCAATCATGTCAAGATTGAGATCTGTTTCTTAAGAAGGTTTTAGCCCAAGATCGTTTGCCCCGTTTTCAGTGTAAGCTATTTAATGTTTTCTCTACTTGGATGGTTAATATCAACTATAGAAGGTTTCCATATATGGAAGGGCATAGAGATGATATGGACGGAGGGTGACCTAGCCAACCAGGTCGGTGGGCTAATTGGTGGCCCAATCCAAGGTGGTTGCCTGACATATGGGGCATATCCAAAGGGGGTTTCTTATTAACAGATCTCATTGGTGTACCTAAATACTAGGCTTTTATCCTCTGGCCAAACTGGCTGGTTGGATTAATTGATCCATCACTGAGTCCATTATAGGTCCATTTCACCAACGAGCCACTTGTCTGTAAAAACTGATGTAGGGTGATTTGGCCCGACCTCATAGCATGGGGACACGTGGACATGACCTGGCATAAGTGACAACTCGGCACGACAGCCTGGCCACAACTCGGCGTGACAAGCTCGCTAAGGCCCGACCAAATGACTTGGCAGATGTGGCAACTCGCCAGGAGGCAAGGCCCAGCTCACCCCAAGCCCTAAGGGTGGAGCGCCCCGAGCTCCCTCCGTGCAAGGGGACCCAAGCTCCCCTTGAGACCCGAGCTCCTCCCAAGGGGTTTCAAGCTCTTCCTTCCTAAGAAGGGAACACCCCGACTTTCGGCTAATTGTCCAGAGGGAGAAACACCTCGGAACAACACCATCGACACTCCTGTTCATACTTGCTTAAGGCTCACCTCCAGTGTGAGCACCTCGGCATACCTCGGCACCTTGGTGCAAGGCAATTTGGCCCAAGGTAGTTCGGTGCAAACTAGCTCGGCAACCTGTAGGGAAGATCCGCTTAACATCCGTACCTGCCGGATCTGGTGGCAGTGCCCACGTCTCTCGCCAGGCGGCGGCATGCCTGCCATCTCTGAAAAGCATGGCATGCCCGACGAGTCCGTACCCTGCAACGGCTACCTGCACCCGCCACCTCAGCCCGGGCAGTAATGGCTATGGCAGTGGCGGTTGCGCCTGATGTGGCAAAGCTCCGGTATAAGAGGACCCCGACCCTCGCGAAGCAAAGGTATTGAAGCTAGCACTTTCAGCACTCTTAACTCTCTCTGTGTTTTCTTTGAGTTTTCTCAGAGCTCTAACTTAGCCATCGGAGTGTTCCCACCGGGAGAGCTCCCCGGGAATCCTTCACATTCCTCTCTGTTTCAGGTGTCGTCTATCACAGCTAGGAGCCAAGTTTCAGCCAGCTAGGAGTGCCCAGATCATGCTGCATCATTTGGCACCGTCTGTGGGAACGCTTCAAAAGGCCTTCCTCTAAGTTCTGTGCAACTTTCTCCAAAGAACTCTGATAGCTATAAATATATAACCCTAGCAAGTGTACTAGTTATCAAGTAGTATAATAATATCGTTCCCACGGGGATTTAACAAAATAAGTAGTAGAATCTCAGTTTTCCCTAATTATTTGGACAATCGAAATTTAGGATTGAGCAAGAACTACTGAAAAATTGGAACAAAGAAAATAAAAACAAGGGTGATCACTTAATTCAATATGCAAATGATGAAATCGCTAGGGCTTTTGGTCCACCTAACCAATGTAATGAATATTGATGGGTCAAATTACCCAAGACTAATTGTTATTCCCATAAGCTGAGATTTTCACAAATTTATTTAATATTCTCTCTCGAGATATACTAAACCTATGCCCATCAGGTAACCCTTCGATCTCTCGAGTAGAGCTCTCAAGATGGAAGTGCATTAAGTCCAAGAAAACCATTAAAWTYAGATGAATCATGTATATATATCTCTATATACCATTCAATTCACACGATGAATTATTCTGTCAATTATGTGAATTCCTCTCTCAATTCATTCACATAACCCACATCAATTAAGAGGTGGCCAAGCTCTTAGTTGCATTAAGAACAATAATTCATAGACTATATGGAAATCACAATCTTGGATAAATCAAGAAGATAAAAATATATTCATTAACATGGTTAGGCTTTCCATAGCCCTAGCAAGAAACAAATTAGTTCATGATGGAAGATTTAAAACAAACAAAGGGGAAGAAATAACTCTTGAATTCGCCCATGGTGTTGAGATCTTCTCTTGCCACCACCTTGTTCTTGGGGTTTCTTGAATTCTTGAACCTTTCTTGAACCCTTCTTGAACCCTTCTTGGCTGATTGCTCCTTGCTTCTTGATTCAGATCAGAAGTTGAATGATTGAATAATTCAGTGATCCAGTGATACCTCCAGCTGGTCCGCCCCCTCCTTCTTATAGATTAAAGGGGGGAGGGTGGTCTCCTCCTTTCTCTTGAAGTTGATCTTTACAACAAATAGAAAGTCCTATCCTAATTCTAACCCTATCTCTTTATCTCTTGAACTCAATCCCTTTTTCACTCTAAGATTACATCAAGAATTTAGATCTAGAAGGATTCKTCTTAGTTTCTTGTTCTTGGATTCGTAATAGACCTCCTCTGCGAATTGGGCTTCAGCCAGGCTTTTCTGCGAGTTGGGCTTCAGCTGCGGATTGGGCCTTGCTACGAAATTGCCCTGACTTCGGGCCCAGATTTGACTTCAATGCAGGCCGAATCTGCGAAATCCCAAAACATGAAAGTTGTGGATTTTTCTCTTATCTTTCCAATGGATCTTGAATCAGCCCATTCTGAGTTCGGAGAAGCGAGTTAGGCCCAGATCACTGAATGATATCGAAACAGTGAAAAATCATCCGATTTGTCTTTCTTTGCTCTTGATGCCTTCTTCCATACCTTGGACCAAAATACAAGAGATATGAGTCCAATTAGATGCTAATTTAGTATAAAAGACAGAATAATTGGGGATAAAAATATGATAAATTCTACTCTCATCAAACTCATCAGCATCACCGACACCCATGGCTTCCTCAAGCAACGTCAGACGCCAAAACACCCCTGAGAAACAACCCCAGTTTCCCACTGTCTGCATTGAACAGTTTACCGTCCCCCTCTCTGCGGACGGGGTTCCCAGTCAGAATGTGCCTTAAACAGTGGCACCCATGACTGTTCCACTTCCCTCTACAGTCGGAACAACCTTCGCTAAACCCACCATCCCACCTCCGGTGGCCAACCAAGGTCATCTTGAGGATCTGATGCAGTGCATGCGAGCCATGCAGGCTTAGATGCAATAGTTCCAGCAGCTCTAGTTTCACCAGTAGCAAGTGCTACACTAGGTTTCCCAATACTAGTATCAGCAACAGTTTCCTTCACTCCCTCCTCAGCATCCAGCTGCACAGCCAACCAAGCCCCACTGCCGAAGCGAACTTCCTTCCCGCCGAGGAGAGACCTCGGTATCGTCTCATGGGAGAAAGGAGAGACCACCTACCCCCGCCTCGTGGCCTGCAGTTAGGTCGGGGGCTTCCCAGCCAGTTAGGCCCGTATCACCTCAGCGTTCACAGTTAGAACCCTCACTTGCCGAAAACTGGTTTGAGGTGCTGACCGACGACCTGGGACAAGGTCCCTCTGTTCACAGCTACCGACGGCAGTCTGAGCCTTTCCCTGGGCCCATCGAGCTCAGTAATACCGAGGCCAGCAGCACCAATGCCGAGCCGGCCAAGAAGCAGCGAAGGCGTCGCCGAGCTCGCCGAACTGCCACCCACGATCTGTCCGAACTCAGAGGCAAGGAAGATGTAAGCTCGGGCGAGGTAAAAGCTACTCCGCTTCTTTCAGTTCCTTCCCCTCTATCACCAGAGCTCCTTGTTGTCCCCATGCCAAAGGACTTCAAGCTCCCCCCACTGGACAAGTATGACAGATCCTTCGATCCGAATGATCACGTGGATGCCTTTCAGTCCCAGATGCACCTGGCAAGAGCCAGTGAATCTTGCATGTGTGTGCCCTTCTCCACCACCTTCAAAGGGGTAGCCCGCACCTAGTACCGAAACTTCGCACCTGGTTCGATAAGAGGTTGGGCGCAGTTTGTGCAAGTCTTTACCTCCCACTTTGTCACCAGCAAGAGGTGCCCAAGAACTCAAGAGAGCCTCCTTAGCATAGTTCAGAAGGAAGGGGAGTCCATCCGAAGCTACATCAAGCGGTTCAATGACGCTTGCTTACAAATACCCGACCTGGACCCCGCAGTTTGGCTCACTGCGGCCAAGCGAGGCATCACCCACAAAGAGTTCAAGTGGCACGTGGTTGTCAATCAGCCGAAGACCGTGACCAAGTTCCTCAAGCTCGAAGATCGGTTCATAGGGACGGAGGAA